AGCAGAAATGAAAGATTTAGGTCGCAGACGAAGTGATGTTTGCTGATGTATCTTCAAACTGACGCGAACAGCGAGGAAAAGCGAGGAAAATTTGAGCGAAAGTACGCTAATTAGTTAAACAACCAGAAATCAGGAAGACACGGTGTGCAGCGTAATGTTTGTCGAATTAACAAAACTTAGGTTATAATTAACGAGCGTTTAAACAAATTGATGAAGCGTCAACGTACTGGTTCAATCGGTGACCACGAGGATGCTTCAACGCTTTCTTTGTTTTCCTCGTCGCAATTGAAACACGAACAAACACCAGCAAATGTGTTTGCGCGAATTAACGAAAAATTACAGTTAAAATTAACTCGGCGTTTCCAGTAAATCAACGTTATATAATAATGGCATCGAGCTGACATTTAATCTTGATCTATCTTTGAACTATCTGAACTTCTCCATTTAGCTGGAACTTGTAATTCCACGACTTCACTCGCGAGATAATAATTACGAAATTTTTATCAACGCGAAGCGCGAGCCTCACGCAGGAATTTTCAAATTTATATATATCGCCAAGTCGTTCATTCGAAGCAAATTTTCCAAACACCAGTCGTGCAACTCGATTCCGATTTTTCGTTCTTTCTGTTCCCCGAATATTATTTAGCCCGGGCTCGAAATTACGAAATCACGTGTCGTCAAGCTTCCCCTTCGAAACTGCGTTCCTTTCGGGAAAACAGAAGCGGAGGAAAATCTGTCGAATTCCTCGCGCCGATAATTAATTCATGTCAATTATCTACGTGATCTTGCTAATTAACCGTGGACACTGAGTTTCGATCGACCAACGCACGGTACGTAGCACGAGAGATCCAATTAAATGTTGGAAGTCGATCGATATTTGAATATTTACGCCACGCCAGGGAAATTGATGACAGTGCGCGGGGAATTTCTCTGGATAATGGAGCGTTTCTGTCTGTCGGATTGTTGAAATCGAACGTTCCCCCTAAACGGAACGGATATAAAAAACGAGAGAACTATAGAAAATTTCTACGCTTTGAAAACTGAACGTTAAAACGTCGTTTGGAAAATTCGAGAAAATCTCTCTCGCTTATTTTTAAATACGTAAAATCGGCGAACGAGAAGTTTTGAAATTCCAACGAGATAATTCGATTCGTGACAATGCATGCATTTTTATTCGCCGATGAAATTCACCGCGAAACGTGTGAACAATTACGATGGAAAGAACCACGTTGAAATGTGGAAACACGATGCAATAAAAATCTTTTTTTTTACCGCGTCGAAATTTTA